GGATGAACTGGGATAAACTGGGAGGGGTTTAGGGGTCACTGGGATGAACTGGGATGGACTGGGATGAATTGGGAATGGGTTTGGGGTTACTGGGATGGACTGGGCTGAACTGGGATGAATTGGGCTGGACTGGGAGGGGATTTGGGGTTACTGGGATGAACTGGGATGAACTGGGAGGGGATTTGGGGTAACTGGGATGAACTGGGATGAACTGGGAGGGGCCTCGCTCTCCCCCCTTTTATTTAAACCATTAAAATTGACTGAAAAAAGGGGATTTTACCTCAAATTTCCCGCCCCGGCGCTGGATTTTGGGGAGATTTAAAGGATTTAGGCGATCCTCAAACCCTCGTGGGCGAAAAGTTGAATTTTTGGGTCGAAATCCTCAGATTTTGCCTCAAAATCCGCTCAAACCTCACCAAAATTCAAGGTTTTGCACACAAATCACCTAAAACCGCTCAAAACCTGGAGATTTTGCCTCAAATTTCCTCAGGAAACCACAAAAAAAGGGGGATTTTACCTCAAATCCCCTCCAAGTTTATTCGGAATTAAACTTTTTTACCTCAGACCCTTCTCCAAATCCCCAAACCCTGCGAGTTTTACCTCAAATCTCCTCAGAAATCCCTCCAAAAAAAATCATTTTTACCCCAAATCCCCTCACAAAATCCCCCTAAATCTCATTTTTCTGCCTCAAAACCCTCCCAAAATTATTTTTTTACCTCAAATCTCCTCGGGCCTTTCCTCAAACTGCTCCAAACCTGTGAAATTTCACCCCAAACCCCCTCACAAAATCCCCCCAAAAATCCCATTTTTTCCACCTCAAAACCGCGGTTTTTTCCCCCAAACCCTTCTCCGCCAATTCATAGCATAAATTACTTTCATTCCCGCCTTCAAATTTAACCGAAATTCCCATTTTTTTCCCCTCTTTTTAAGGCTTTAATTCCCATTTAATTCCATTCCCCAAGTCATGCCCTCAATCAAAATGGCGCCGGCGCCTTCCCGCCCTTTTTGCTTCCCGCCCTGCCCTCAACCAAAATGGCGCCCGAGCCCTCACGCCTCCCTTTAACCCACTCTGCGCACGCGCAGCCGCCATTTCGTGCGTTTGCTTCGCGCTGCCCTTAACAAAGATGGCGCCCGCGCTGCGTCGCCGCCGCCATTTTGCGAGCGCCGCCTCCCTCAGGCGCCAGAATCCAAGATGGCGCTCGCCAGCGTCCTCCGTTCGGAGCTCCCGGATTTCTCCAAATCGTTCCCAAAATCTTTTTCCAAAAGTTTTCCCGATGATTCCGAGGAGATCCCCGAAATCCTGCGGGATGCCTCGGGCCCTCCGCGGGTTCTGGCGGCTCCGCCCTGGGGCGTTGAGGCAGAGCCGGAGGGGCTCGGGCTGCAGATTCTTCACGGCACCACCACTCTGGCTTTTAAGGTGAGGGGGAAATCTCTTCAAAATTCACTTTTAAAGCCCAAAATCGCGGCTGGGGAGGGTGAAATCCCGGGTTTGACCCAAAAAACCGCGGCTGGGGAGGGTAAAACGCGGTTTTGGATCCCGAAAATCCCGTCCGGGGCTCAAAAATCGCGTGTGGGCGCCTTAAAAATTGAGTTTTGGAGCCAAAAAATGTTGTCTGGGACCCAAAAAAATCCATTTTGGATCCAAACGTTGCCTCTGGCAGTCAAAAATTTCAGTTCTGGACTAAAAAAATTCCATTTTGGACCCAAAATTCCTTTCTGGGACCCAAAAATTTCATTTTTGGACCCAAAAATTGCCTCTGGGAGGCAAAAAAATTCACTTTTGGACCCATAAAATTCAATTTTGAGCCCAAAAAATTCCAATTTGGACCCAAAATTCCTGTCTGGGACCCAAAAGTTTCATTTTTGGACCCAAAAATTGCCTCTGGGAGGCAAAAAAATTCACTTTTGGACCCATAAAATTCAATTTTGAGCCCAAAAAATTCCAATTTGGACCCAAAATTCCTGTCTGGGAACTTCAAAATTCCATTTTGGACCAAAAAATTCAATTTTGGCCCCAAAATTTTCAGTTTTGGACCCAAAATTTGTGTCTGTTAGCATCAAAATTCTGTTTTTTGGACATAAAAATCGCGGCTGGGGAGAAAAAGTTGGGATTTTGTGGGAGAAAAAATTGGGATTTTGGGGAGAAAATGGAGAAAATTAAAATGGAGAATATTAAAATGGAAAAAAAGGGATTTTAGGGGAGAAAATTTGGGAAAAAATGGGGGAAAATTTGAGAAAAAATTGGGAATTTTAGGGGGAAAAATTGGGGGGAAATTGAGAAAATTTGAGAAAAAATGGATTTTACAAAATGGTGGAAATTATGAGGAAAAATGAAGGGAAAGTGGGAAAAACTTGAGGAAAAATGGGATTTTAGGGGTGGAAAATGGGAGAAAAATGGGGATTTTATGGAGGAAAAATGGGGGAAAATTTGAGGGAAAAAATTGGAATTTAGGGGAAAAAAATTGGTAAAAAATGGTGATTTTAGGGGTACAAAATGGTGGGAAATTATGGAGGAAAAATGGGGGAAAATTTGAGGGAAAAAATTGGAATTTAGGGGAAAAAAATTGGTAAAAAAATGGGATTTTAGGGGTGGAAAATGGTGGGAAATTTGAGAAAAAAAATGGGGATTTTAGAGGAAAAATGGTGAAAAAATTTGAGACAAATTAGGGGAGAAAATGGGAGAAAAATGGGGATTTTATGGAGGAAAAATTGGGGAAAATGGTGAAAAAATAGGGGAAAAATTGGGAAGAAATACGGAAAAAATGGAGAAAATTTGAGGAAAAAAACCCCGATTTTAGGAGAGAAATTTTGGTATAAAATGGCAATTTTAGGGCTAAAAGTAGGCAGAAAATTGGAGAAAAAAAGCGATTTTAAGGAAACAAAATGGCAGAAAAATAGGGAAAAAATACGACAAAAAATTGAATTTTTTTTCGCTGTTTTTTGCCCAAATCCCCCCCATTTTCTCACCTAAAATTCCATTTTTGACCCCAATTTAGGTATGATAACGGGGAAAAATGGGGGAAAAAAGGGGATTTAGGTACAGGGAAATGGGAGAGAATTGGGGGAAAAATGGGGATTTTAGTGGAAAAAATGGTGAAAAAATTGGGAAAAAAATGAGGATTTTAGGGGAGAAAATGGTGAAAAAATTGGGAAAAAAATAGGGATTTTAGAGAAAAAAATGGGGAAAAAATGGGGATTTTAGAGGAAAAAATGGTGAAAACATTGAGAAAAAAATAGGGATTTTAGGGAAAAAATTGAGGAAAAATTCGGGATTTTAGAGGACAAAATGGTGAAGGAATTGAGGAAAAAAATGGGGATTTTAGGTAAAAAATTGAGAAAAAAATGGGGATTTTAGGGGAAAAAATGGTGAAAAATTGAGAAAAAAAATGGGGATTTTAGGGAAAAAAATGGTGAAAAAAATTGAGAAAAAAAAAAGGGAAAAAGTTGGGGATTTTAGAGGAAAAAATTGAGAAAAAAATAGATATTTTAGGGAAAAAATTGAGAAAAAAGTGGGTATTTTAGAGGAAAAATGATGAAAAAATTGAGAAAAAAATGGGGATTTTAGGGAAAAAAGGTGAAAAAATTGGGAAAAAAAATCAGGATTTTAGGCAAAAAAATGGGGATTTTAGAGGAAAAATGGTGAAAAAATTGAGAAAAAAATGGGGATTTTAGAGGAAAAAATGGTGAAAAAATTTAGGATTTTAGGGAAGAAATTGAGGAAAAAATGGGAATTTTTAGGGGAAAAAATGGCGATTTTAGGGAAAAAATTGATGGAAAAATTGGAGGAAAAAATCAAATTTTAGGAGAGAAAACTCGTTAAAAATTGGAAATTTTAGGGCTACAAAATGGCGGAAAATTGGAGAAAAAATGCGACTTTAAGGATAAAAAATGTCGGAAAAATTGACAAAAAAATGCAATTTTATGGAAACAAAATGGCGGAAAAATTGACGAAAAAAATGGGGATTTTAGGCAAAAAATGGAGGAAAAAATGGGGATTTTAGAGAAAAAAATGATGAAAAAATTGAGAAAAAAGTGGGGATTTTTGGGAAAAAATGGTGAAAAAATTGAGGATTTTAGGGAAGAAATTGAGAAAAAATGGAGGAAAAAATCAAATTTTAGGAGAGAAAACTCGTTAAAAATTGGAAACTTTAGGGCTACAAAATGTCGGAAAAATTGACAAAAAATTTGCAATTTTACGGAAACAAAATGGCGAAAAAATTGACAAAAAAATGTGATTTTATGGATAAAAAATGTCGTAAAAATTGAAAATTCACTTGAAATGAGCCCAGATTGATTCCCTGTGGGTTAAAGTTATAAAATACGTTTTCAGGTTTGGTAGCCACATGGCCAGGTTTGGTAGCCACACCCAAAAAAATAACATTTAGGAGCCCCAAATTGACTTGAAATGAGCCTAAATTGACTCGAAGTGAGCCCAAAATTCACTTGAAATGAGCCCAGATTGATTCCCGGCAAACAAAATGTCGGAAAAATTGACAAAAAAATACGATTTTACGGATAAAAAATGTCGTAAAAATTGCCAAAAAATTGTGATTTTACGGAAACAAAATGCCGTAAAAATTGCCAAAAAAATACGATTTTACGTAAACAAAATGGCGTAAAAATTGCCAAAAAAATGCGATTTTACCTAAACAAAATGGCAGAAAACCATTACAAAAAACACCACAAAAGCCTGAATTTTTCCCCCGTTCCCCCCAGTCCCCCCACGGCGTGACGGTGGCCGTCGACTCGCGCGCCACGGCCGGCTCGTACATCGCCTCGCAGTCGGTGCTGAAGGTGCTGCCCATCAACGCGCGCATCCTGGGCACCATGGCGGGCGGCGCCGCCGACTGCAGCTTCTGGCAGCGGCTGGTGGCGCGGCAGTGCCGCGTGCAGGAGCTGCGCAACAAGGAGCCCGTCTCGGTGGCCGCGGCCTCCAAGCTGCTGGCCAACCTGGTGTACCAGTACAAGGGCATGGGGCTGAGCCTGGGCACCATGGTGTGCGGCTGGGACAAGCGCGGGCCCGGTACGGGGCGCTGGGGGGGACAGGCACTGGCCACAGCCCGGAACTCGGTAGCCACACCTCGAAAGTTGGTAGCCACACCTCAAAATTCGGGTTAAATAGGCCAAAATTTGCATTTAATGGCCCCAAATTGACTCGAAATGACCCAAAATTCACTTGAAATGAGCCCAGATTGATTCCCTGTGGGTTAAAGTTATAAAATACGTTTTCAGGTTTGGTAGCCACATGGCCAAGTTTGGTAGCCACACCCAAAAAATAACATTTAGGAGGCCTAAATTGACGCGAAATGAGCCCAGATTGATTCCCTGTGGCTCAAAGTTGCAAAATACACTTTCAGATTTGGTAGCCACATGGCCGAGTTTGGTAGCCACACCCAAAAAATCCCATTTAATGGCCCCAAATTGACTTGAAATGTCCCCAGATTTATTCCCTATGAATCAAAGTTACAAAATGCACTTTCAGATTTGGTAGCCACATGGCCAAGTTTGGTAGCCACACCCAAAAAAACACATTTAGGAGGCCTAAATTGACTGGAAATGTGCCCAGATTGATTCCCTATGGGTCAAAGTTGCAAAATACACTTTCAGATTTGGTAGCCACACTGTGAAATTTGGTAGCCACGCCCAAAAATTCACTTTTAGGAGCCCCAAATTGACTGGAAATGAGCCCAAATTCACTTGAAATGTGCCCAGATTGATTCCCTGTGGCTCAAAGTTATAAAATACGTTTTCAGGTTTGGTAGCCACATGGCCGAGTTTGGTAGCCACACCCAAAAAATCCCATTTAATGGCCCCAAATTGACTTGAAATGTCCCCAGACTGATTCCCTGTGGCTTGAAGTTACGAAATGCGTTTTCAGATTTGGTAGCCACACTGTGAAATTTGGTAGCCACACCCCAAAATTCGCTTTTAGGAGCCCCAAATTGACTGGAAATGAGCCCAGATTGATTCCCTGTGGCCCAAAGTTACAAAATACGCTTTCAGGTTTGGTAGCCACATGGCCGAGTTTGGTAGCCACACCCAAAAAATCTCATTTAATGAGCCCAAATTGACTCGAAATGAGCCCAAACTTATTCCCCATGGCCTAAAGTTCCAAAATGCGCTTTCAGATTTGGTAGCCACATTCCCAAATTCGGTAGCCACACCCCAAAACTCCCATTTAACGACCCCAAATTCACCTCTGACATCACCCAATTTATCCCCAGTGTCCCAAAGCTGCCAGACAAGCCTCCAAATCTGTTAGCCACGCCCCCCAGTTGGCTGGCCACGCCCCCAATGGGCTGGCCACGCCCCCCAGTTGGCTGGCCACGCCCCCAATGGGCTAGCCACGCCTCCAAGCTGCTGGCCAACCTGGTGTACCAGTACAAGGGCATGGGGCTGAGCCTGGGCACCATGGTGTGCGGCTGGGACAAGCGCGGGCCCGGTACGGGGCGCTGGGGGGGACAGGCACTGGCCACAGCCCGGAACTCGGTAGCCACGCCCAAAAAATCCCATTTAATGAGCCCAAAATGACTCAAAATGAGCCCAAAATTCACTTGAAATGAGCCCAGATTGATTCCCAGTGGCCCAAAGTTACAAAATGCACTTTCAGATTTGGTAGCCACATGGCCGAGTTTGGTAGCCACACCCAGAAAATCACTTTTAGGAGCCCCAAATTGACGCAAAATGAGCCCAGATTGATTCCCCGTGGCCCAAAGTTATGAAATACACTTTTAGATTTGGTAGCCACACCCAAAAAATCCCATTTAATGAGCCCAAATTGACTGAAAATGAGCCAAAATTCACTCAAAATGAGCCCAAATTTATTCCCTGTGGCTTGAAGTTGCTAAATGCGTTTTCAGATTTGGTGGCCACATTGTGAAATTTGGTAGCCACACCCCAAAATTTGCATTTAATGGCCCCAAGTTGACTTGAAATGTGCCCAGATTTATTCCTAGTGGCCCAAAGTTACAAAATACGTTTTCAGATTTGGTAGCCACATGGCCAGGTTTGGTAGCCACACCCCAAAATTTGCATTTAATGGCCCCAAGTTGACTTGAAATGTGCCCAGATTTATTCCTAGTGGCCCAAAGTTACAAAATACGTTTTCAGATTTGGTAGCCACATTGTGAAATTTGGTAGCCACACCCAAAAATTCGCTTTTAGGAGCCCCAAATTGACTCGAAATGAGCCCAAAATTCACTTGAAATGAGCCCAGATTGATTCCCTGTGGCTCAAAGTTACAAAATGCGCTTTCAGATTTGGTAGCCACATGGCCGAGTTTGGTAGCCACGCCCAAAAAATCCCATTTAATGGCCCCAAATTGACTTGAAATGTCCCTAGATTGATTCCCTGTAGGCCAAAGTTACAAAATGCATTTTCAGGTTTGGTAGCCACATGGCCGAGTTTGGTAGCCACACCCAAAAATTCACTTTTAGGAGCGCCAAATTGACTCGAAATGAGCCCAAATTGATTCCCTGTGACCCGAACTCACTAGCCACACCCCCAAACTTGGTAGCCACATGTTGAAACTCACTAGCC